CACACATTAGCCCACACAATTCTCACAGTGTCTTCAGAAGATAAACTTCTCCTCACTTTCAAGTCAAAGAAGTCAGGGCTAAACAATATCAAACATTACACTCCAGGTCTCCTGGCTCACATAGTGTTAAGGTGGTGGGTGGGAGGGGCGTGGCCGCATCTTGGTGAAACGCTAAGAGCTGGCCATTTAGCAAGAATAAGGCACTGATAATGTGTGGGATATCAACCACCGTCACCAAAGGCAACTGTACAGATCCTTAAGCACCGTAAGCCGCAGAAAACAATAGACAATGTGAGATTCCGGGAAATGGGTATATTCAGCAGTGTTTGTAGTGTGGTAGGTGTGTAGACTTCACCCTTAAATTACTGAAGCAGAATTTCTGGGTGCTTTGTGAGAGAGAAATGGAGAAAGCTCCTTTCATCGTTTGTGATCTAGCTTATGGATTATTGAAATTATCCAGACAAATAATTAACTAGCTTGTAAACACCCACATTTACTGATTGCCAACAAATTTCTTTCTGGTAGTAACAGTGAATCTTGATGGGTACTTATGTTCTGCCCATCCATATATGTGTATTCTGATTGAATTATTATCCTCATTTTACAAAAGTAGACCCTCAAGATCAGAAAGAAAGAGTGACCTGGTTAGAGCCATCTTGTGAATGTGTGGCCAGGTCCAAGCTCTGGCCTGGACTTGCCTATCTCCAAACTGTATTCCCTCCTGTGTAGCAGCCACAGCCCTCTTCTTTTTCATGAGGTAGAATTGGGGGGCTGGACTAGGAGATACAGAGAGAGTCTCTGTTGTCCCCCAAATGATAAGCATGATTCTCAGGTCCGATACAGAGCCTGCAGCAGCACACAGAGGCTTTGAGAAGCTACAAAGCAAAGAAGAGAGTATCCATGTCTTAGGGTTTCTGCTACTATGACCAGGGCAACTCTTATAAAGGAAAACATTTCACTGGAGTGGCTTACAGTTTCAGAGGTTTGGTCCACAATCATCATAGTGGGACATGCTGGCGTGCAGGCAGACACGGTGCTGGAGAAGGAGCTGAGAGTCCTACATCTTGACCAGCAGGCAACAGGAAGTGGTCTGAGATACTAGATGTGGCTTGAGCATATATGAGACCTCAAAGCCTGCCTCCACAGTGACACACTTCCTCCTACAAGTCCACACCCCCTAATAGTGCCACTCCCTGTGAGCTTATGGGGGCCAATTACATTCAAACCACCACAACATGGCTTGGTCCATGTGTGTTAGAACAAACAAGGAGCTGTCTGCTAAGATGCTTAGAGCTGGGGACGAAGAAGATATCAGTGATGGAGAGAGGGAGGTCAGCCAGAGGAGTTTAAGTAGCTCAAATATGGAATCTGGGAGGTGAGGGAGTCAGGTTGGGAGTGTTACAGGGAGGAAGTTGGGTAGATGAGAAAGGAAGGAACCTTCTAGAAGGACTTAAAGTAAAGCAGGGCGCTGTAACTGGCAGGGCGGGGGAGGGGTAGTGAGAAGAAGTTCAGGAGGAGAGAACAGAAGAGAAAGAGCTGAGTGGGGCTGGAGAGAGAACAAGCAAGGAGAGCAAGAGGGAGAGAGAGGCAGAGGCCAAGGAATGGTCTTATTCTTTCCAAGCCAAACAGGCAAGACAGCGAATCACTAAATTTTTAGAAATGCTCTGAGCTCCAAAAAAAAAAAAAAAAAAAAAAAAAACCTCAAAATTTTGATCTCAGGACATTATACTCTAAAAAAATTATTTAAAAAAATACTTAGGGATATTTGACTATGTGAGTTATAGGTATTAATAGTTGTCATACTATATACAACAAGAGTTATTAGTATATTTATGAATGGTTTAAAATCAATAATATAGTTAAGTCCATTCATGTTAACATAAATATCTTTTCATAAAATAACTATATTTCTAAAAGTATTGTGCTAAGTGTCATTATATTTGTTTGCACAGTTTTGTTTCACAGAAGACAAATGGGCCCCGACATCTGCTTCAGCATCCAATGTGATGATATGTTGCATTGATCAAAGTATTTGGAATGAAATCTGGTCTTGGATACGTAAAGTAGGAAGTATATTAATCACTTTTTCAGATAATTACAGACATTCTTTTCAGACAGTACCTCAAAATTTCTTTCCCTTCCCCCCACACCACCCCCTCCCCTCTCCAGTATATGTACCTAAATATTCGGACAGTAGTTAGGTTGATCCCAGGGTCTCAAAACTGTTAGCCAAACGCTCCACTACTGAGTGGAGCTACATCCACAGCCAGCAAATTACCTTTGCTTTAAGTCTAGCAGTGAAGTGAAATATGAAGACATGTCTGTAAAGTATTTGGACTCTCTTGATTCACAAGACTTGCTCTACCCTGCATCTTGAGAGGATGACGCACCCATGCATGATTTGTAGCACTGTGCATCTGTTCACCTGGAAATGGAAGCTTGCTGAGCTGTGCAGCCCTTGCCCATGTACAACAGGAAACCCCACTGTGCATTCTGGTGAATGAGAAGGAGACTTAGATCTTGCTGGCTTCCCAGACACCATGTGGAGGTCTTGGGAAGTCTAATGGTGCCATGTGATACTTTGGGGGTCACTGTTGTGGTGCAGTGGAATGTGTTCCAAGCTGGGAACCAGGCATCCTGGGGACCAGCCCCTACGAGGCTTTTCATTAGCTTGGCCATAAGCCTGAATGTCTCTGGGCCTCTCCAGCCGAGGGTTTCTCTGTACAGCTCTGGCTGTCCTGGAACTAGCTCTGTAGATCAGGCCGGCCTCAATCTACCTGCCTCTGCCTCCTAAGTGCTAGGATTAAAGGCATGCGCCCCCTCCCCTCGCCCACTTCCTTCCTTCCTTCCTTCCTTCCTTCCTTCCTTCCTTCCTTCCTTCCTTCCTTTCTTCCTTCCTTTCTTATGATTTAATTTTATTTTATGTACATTGGTGTTTTGCCTGCCTGTGTCTGAGGGTGTTAGATCCCTGGAAGTGGAATTACAGACAGTTGTGAGCTGCCATGTGGGTGCTAGGAATCGAACCCAGGTCCTCTGGAAGAGCAGTCAGTGCTCTTAACTGCTGGACTCTTTCTTAAGATTTCCTTGATTGCACCTTTCACTGCTTCTTCTAAGAGAGGCTCTTTTTCATCCCACTTGTCAGTTGCCACCTATGAGAAACACTTCCAAGAGGCCTAGCCACTGTCCACCTCTTCTACGACGTATCCCCTTCGTCCTCCCAGTCAAACGAATCTTTTCTCCCTCGGCCCTCTGATGCCTTTGTTGTGGGAATCTTATCTCACCTTGCCCTGAGTTCAAATGACCAGAGTGATTGCTTGGTACCAACAGGTCCACCCCACTGCCCTCTACGAACTGACCCACGAGACAGCAGAAAGCAAACTCCTGATCCCGTTCATGTTTGTGCCTCCTCCTGTCACTCCGCCTGACACAAAGTGGGGACCCTGTGAAAGTGGAATTAATTGGCTAGTGTGTTTCAGGAGGCTCTATCTGTAAGGCTGAATGGATATTTATGGGAGAAGGGGCTGTGCAGAGGTGACTGGGAGGAGAAAGGAGAAGAATGGCGGTGATAGAAATAATAAGAAGACTGATGGGAGAAGGAGGGGAGAGGTCAGGGTATGCACCTATGGGCCGCAGACTGAGATAAAGAGATGGGGTGTGATGGAGCACGGTAAGATGATGAGAAGGGCATTTTTGTGGTGGACATAAAGGATGGGGAGGAGTATAAGAAATTAACAGACAGCTGGGGAGAAAACTCTCAGGATACTGATGGGTGGAGGGGCTGAGCCTGAGCTGAGGGGCATGGAAATGGCCATTTACACTAACAAGGAGCGTGCATGTGCTGCGGTGACTCGGGGGACTAGTCCCCAGATAGCCGTGTTTCTGAATTTCAGCCATTCCCAGCCAAAGATGCTGTGGTCACTCTTGCTGGGTGCTTTTCCAAGCACCCCCTTCACAGGAACCTAGAAACCCTTGTCATCTCCCACGCATCTGATGAGGAGTGAGCCCACACGAGGCCCAAATGGAAAAGATCAAGACACTCCAAGCCTCAGCTTCTTTCTCTTCAAATATTTGCAGAGAGGGAGAGTGGCATGAGCCTGGGGAATGCGGTGCTTATTGCTCACACTACATTAAAATTCAGATTGGCTGGCGCAATATCCCCAGCATAACCGCTCTGCACTGATATTTTTATAACTCTTAATATCAAACAAATTGCCTCTTCACTGAGACAGTTTAATGTGACGGGGGCCATGCCCGCCAGCTTCCTCATGCTGGCCCCATAAAGATCACCGTTCTGTTACTGGGGACAGAGGAGCCATGAATTTCCTATCAAAAATATGACTAGATTATGCAGAGTAAATCTTGGACCACATTAAAAAGATCATGGTGTTTTAATTTCTTTTCTCCCCCCCCCCACTCTCATCACCCTGATGCCTACCAACACATCTTCTCTTCATCACATCACATCATTAATAAAATGAGGTAGGGGGTCTCCAGGCTGAATCAGCTATGGATTGCTCTCTCTCTCTAGCGTAAGTCTCCATGTTTTCTGCAGTTATATGTCTTCCCTCAGTAATCAATTGGTGATTTCAGCTTCACCCAACCTAAGAGAGGCCCCACCTTTCTCTTCTCTTGGTGTGGAAAAGATTTGGGATGATGCAACTAGAAAATCCCTACCATACTGTTGATTTTAGGGCCAAGAGAGTATTTTCTTGTTTGGGCTTGTTTTAGAAGCTTCAAGGGCAGCTGATCAGTAGGGAGAGGCACAGTTGAAAGCCGTATCCTTCTTCCAAAGCTCATTCCATCAAAGATCCCATTGTTACCCAGCCATGAATGCCTTCATGATGAGAAAAATCCAGACTGACTGATTATTAAACCATTGGATCTTTCTTTCATTAATGAGTCAAAGACCTAGGAAAAAGTCCATCAGAGCAACCCACTTGAGACAGTAAGGACGCTAACTCGAAGTGGTATAAGTCAGCCCAAAGCAAAAACACTTGACATTTTACTGGCTTGAGATACTTTATTGTAATCAGTCATTTCCAGATATTGAAAGCAGTCTGTGGGCTTCATCCAGCCCTACTCCTTGTTCTTATCATTCCCAACTCACAGTCACCATTCTGTCTTAGAGCTGCTCAGTCACCCAATATTGAAGTTCAAAGCAAGTGGTGGAAAGCATTCTCAAAGATCCCAAGAAATTGATTAGCTGTCTCGGGAAGGAACTCAATCCTATGTATGTGTACTTTATTTTGCTTCCAATAACAGTGTTGATGGCAGCACCCAAAAAAGAACCCATGGAAAAGTTCACGCTAGTTCCCAGGATTCCTGAGACCCAGGAGTTCCAGACATAGGGAAAATGGGCCGTAGTCACAAATCCTTGTTCTCCAAGGAAGAGATGTGAACTTGTATGTCAAAGTACTAGCCCTCTGTGCAGGGTCACACACATTTTCCAGTTTTATTTCCAATATGTTTCCATCTCAGCCCTCCCCCTTCCTCTATAATATATGTTATCAGCATTTTGTTTCTGTGCCGGAGTGCTAGGTTGACCTTACCATTTTCAACTCTTACATTTTAATACACTTTGCAATTAATATCCTGTATAAAAAACACCAACAGAGATCATTGCAACCTTATTATAACTTGCTATATTTACTTGTCAGTATCTTATATAGCTTCAGAATCACCCTTTTGTTAAAATACTCTTTTCATACTCCAGCAACCACAGCCTTCCCCACTTCCTTGCTTCTAGAACATTCTCGGGTTGTCTTGGCTTACAGACCAGAATGTCTTTGGAAACTTGTAAAATTCTAGAGGAGCCGATCCAGCCCGAGAACTCCAACTAGGCCCAGGAGACTGTCAACTGCTATATTCATATGTATCACATCTTGTCCTTAGGAAAGCTGGGAGGAGCCGATAGTGACAAAAATAAGAAAATTAGACAAATGTTGCATCAACACCTTTAGAACAGCAGAACCCACAGAAGTAATGGGATGAGCAGAATGTGGCCCTTGATAAAATGATCATATACAGAACATAAGAAGAAGTAAAACACCAGGGTCACTCAAAGTTATGTTTTAGGGTCCATTGAGGGGCCTCAGCAGGTGAAGGCCGGACCACCCTGGGACAGATGGTAGAAGAGGAAAATCAACTCCTGTACACTGGCCTCTGGAGTGTACACACATACGTCCACACACATAAACGCAGGCAGAACAAAATAAATAAATGTAATAAAATTATGTTTCAGGAGGAAATATGAAATAGAGCAAAAAGGTATTCATGAAATAGTGTTGAGTAGCTAAAAGCAGATCACAAATGTTTACAGCATACTAGTTTTAATACAAATTTCAAATTTAGAAAAAGATCAAACTATCAATAGTAGAAACAACGGGTGGCTTTTAGGCTCTTTTCCCCCTTCGTGTTGGAGATTGAAAGAGGACTGTTTCCATGATGACCGATGCTCTACCACTGAGCTGCGCCTCCGGCCGCTTTCCTCCATGTGCTTCTTCTCTCACCTGCCTTGAAAGTACAAACTTTTAAAATTAAGAGGAAAGAAAAGGACCTTGAAAACCTGGTTCTGTTGCACATTCCACTGGAGCTGAAAACAGCCCTGAGCTTCCAAGACACTCTCCTGTCGCTGCACTCAGCTCACAGGTAATATTTAACACCTCAGGTGAGCTAGCCCACCGGCACTGCAGGGAATCCACACACACAGCCACACCAGTTCTGTCCCCCCAATAAAACAGAGGAGCTAAATTCCTGACTTTGAAGACAGGCTTCAGAGCTCACCTCTGCCCAGAGCCTGCAAGGCTTCTACACTCTGGAGTCTGAGGCTGAAGACAGCACAGCCTCCTGGCCCTGGGAGTGGTGACTATAACCAGGACTTGAACTGTGCTCCAAATGGGGCTGGGTGTGGGCAAATTATCTTGTGCCTCAGTGGCTTGGGGCTGTACCCCATATCTACCACCGCCCCAGCCTAGCTCTCTGTCCCTTCTCTTCTGTCAGGTTCCTTCCAAGCCACCCAAGAGCTGTTGCCCCACCGAGGTCCCCAGTCTGGTGCTTGCACCTTACTAGAGGTCTCAGACCTTGTCGGCGCCACCTCCTGAGAACAGAACGGCTCCTGCCCTGGGGCTGGAAGTTCTTCTCCTGGGGGAGGGAGTTCCCTGGAGACTGCGGCGGGTGGGGGAGGCCCCAGGAGGGGGCACACGGATGCCTTTTTGGGAGGAAACCACGTACCATCCGCTCTCACTCGCTGCCAGCCAGGGTTTTCTTCCCCCAGTGAGTCTCTTAATTTTGCTCATTTATCTTAAAGAGCTCCGTAAGCGCCGTGGGGCTCCGGCGGGGGCGCCACACGGGGGCTCCGACACCCGACCCCCACGCCTGCCTCCCAGAGGAACCATCCAGCGCGGACCAAATCTCATTTTCCTACAAATAGTTTGTCAGAAGCAGCAGGGCAAGTAATAAATCACAGAGAGCGAGAGAGCGGAGAAGGAAGGGGGAGAGGCTGGGAGGGGAGGGCGGGGCGAGGGCGGAGGGAGGGCTGGGGGCGCAGAGAGGGAGAGCAGACCGGGGAGTGGGGGGTGCGGGGAGAGAGTGAAGGAAGAAGAAAGGAGGGGGGAGACAAAGAGACCGGAAAGAGGGAAGAGAAGAAAGAAGGAACCTGGGAGTTCAGAACGCTGGGGAGAGGGAGGAAGGGAAAGGAAAGGACTGAGTGTGTTGAGGGAGAAAGAGCAAGGAATGAATCACGAAGCAGGGGGGGGGGGGGGGGTGTGTGAAAAAGAGGGAAGAAAATGAATCTCAAGAGGACGTGGGAAGGAGAAAAAGCCATCTGGTGAAGAAGTGAACCCCAGAAAGGATGGTGGGCAACGCATCGCCTCGGCTTTTCCCCACCTCCCTCACCCTGAGCTATTGTGGACTCCTGCCTCTGTGCTCCATCTGTAGACTAATTGGTGTCCTTGTGCCTGGTGTGTATGTGTGTGTGTGTGTGTGTGTGTGTGTGTGTGTGTGTGTGTGTGTGTGTGTGTGTGTGTGAAAGAAGCAGGGAGATCTTGTATCCGGGTTACTGAGATGGAACAAGCCAAAGCCACTCCATTCTTCCAAGCCTCAGTTTCTTGATCTAGCAAATGGGAGTAATAATCTCCATTTGCATATTTGGGAACATTAGCTCTGCCTGGAAAGCAGGGCCCTGAGCAAGCAAGCTGGTGATTAGGATAAGGGGAGCCTTCCTTGCCCTGACTGGTAAGGGTGAACTTGGTCCCAGAACTCTGGGCACAGATGCTGGATCTTCTAAGTAGTGCTACCTCTCCCCCACTGCAGCCTGTGATCCTGAGCCAGACACTGGGATCTAGCAGCTGTCAACAAGAGCACACTCAGGAACCGGGGTGGGAGGTGGAGGGGGTAAAGAGGGGGGACAGGGTGGCAGGGGTGGGAGCTGGGGGGTCTGGGGGTAGGGGACGCCACATGACACAATGCCTGTGCGGTGATCACCTACTGTCAAGCTCTCTGGGCTTCTGGTGCAAGGACAGCCATAGGGAGAGTCATCTAAGGCTGAGCCTTCCATTCCCCGCCCTCCACAGCCCACACCCCTCGCTCTGACAGTTCAGGAACTCACCATAAGGTCTGAGTTTTTGATCCTCCGAAAACTCCCTCCCTCCTTCTCCCTGGCCCTAGTAGGAGCTGGGAGGGTGGAGGCAGAACATCTTTAGTTGTGGGAAGCAGAGCATTGAGGGGGAGGGAAATGGGTTGCTGGCACTGTAAACTGCCTGAGGGCAGGAACCTTACAGAATTACCCCAGCTCTTATCATATTGCTGGTAAGTGGTGGGCCCCTGAGATGAATGAAGTTCATTTAATTTTGTGACTATGCGTTCATTACGCACTCCTTATGACCGTAAAGAAGCAGTTATTAGTCCATGTTATAGAAAGGGAAACAGACAAAAATTACCAAGACAGGAAGTGGCAAGCCCAAGAGAGGTGTTTGAGTCTAGGGCAGACTGTCTCAAAAGCTTATGCCCCATCTGTGGCTGCCCAGGGCTCAGCGGCAGGGCAACCTGAACAGCTTCTGTGGTCTTTAGGGTCCCCACATGTCTGAGGCACCGGGAAGGAGGAAATGATGGTAAAGGGGTCCACATCATCTTAGTTAGGGTTTTATTGCTGTGAAGAGACACCATGACCACAGCAATTCTTACAAAGGAAAACATTTAACTGGGGTGGCTCACAGTTCAGACGTTTAGAGGTTTAGTCCATTATTGTCAGGAGGGAAGCATGGCAGCATGCGGGCAGACACAGTGCTGGAGAAGTAGCTGAGAGTTCTTCATCTGGATCCGCAGGCAGCAGGAAGGGAGAACAACCCTGGACCTGGCTTGAGTTTCTGAAACCCCCGAGCCCACCCCCAGTGACACACTTCCTCCAACAAGGCCACACCTACTCCAACACACTTCCAATAGTGCCATTCCCTGTGTGCCCATGGGGGCCATTTTATTCAAACCACCATACCTGCCCTGACTTCTCTTGACCCTCCAGATTCTAGAGAAGGGTGCCACAGGGTACCCCATTCTAGGTGTTCGATTCATTTGGGGACTCCTTGTTATTGATACATTCCTTTAGCTCTGAGCATTAGGCCACACTGCCCTCAGACAGACACTCAACTTGCAGCACTCCACCCTGAGGAGGGCTTCAGGGACGAAGTCATCTTCCTCATGGCCTCTCTCATTCAGCTCTTTGAAACTCAGCTCTACCTCCTCTGCTCCCTTTCCTTCTGAAATAGCATCAAGGGACCTCACATCCAGTCCCAGCAAGAAACAGAGTCTGGGGAAGAGAGCTAGGCTCTGCTTGCCTGCCTTGTATCAACTAAATGACCCTAGGCAATTCTTTTCACCTCTCAGGCTCGGGTTCCTCAATTGGAAAATGGGGATTTTAAAAAAAATTATTCTAAATTCCCAAGACTGTCATGATAATCATTAGGGCAAAAAGCTGTGGAAAGGCTTTCCAAGTGAGAGCTCTTATTCTTCACATTCCGGTGGCAGGTCTCCAGCTCCCTTCGCCCAGGTCCCATCCTCTCACGTTACATGAACCCCATCATTGATTCCAGGTCTGAACCCCAAGGACTGCAGGTGCCTCCCTGTTTCGCCTCACCAAAACAACATTTAAAACTCAGAGAAAGCCTTGTGATGAAACCAACCAGGGCAGGCAGGGTAGAGCGGTGGCCAAGAGCTTTATTGGAGGGAGTGGAAAATCATTTCTGAACTCCAGACCGACTGCTGTTAACGGTGCTACCTTGAACAATCAATCATCTTGCTTCTCTGTGCCTCAGCTTTCTTTCCATAAGATGGGGCAATAACAGTGCCCATCTTCTGAGGCAGGGAGTGTGCACGACCCCCCCCCCCCCACACACACACACTGCAGTAAGTAGCCGCTCTAGTTTTGTCTTGACATCTTTGGTGACTTTTCTCCTCAACTGCTCAACAGCATGCAAACCATCTTCTTCCGCCGTAGCCACACCAAAGGTCTTTGCTCTCTGCCTCTAAACCATCAAGTCCAGTCTGGACTGGCCCCGAGGCTACCTCGGATTCTCACCTTAACATACTACAGGAAGGGACAGGATGCGGCACAGACAAAGCTACTTCTAGGCTCCTGAAGACCATTTTGTGGCTGTGTTAAGGACTGGACCCAGGGCCTCATGCATACTAGACTGACACTCTACCACTGAGCAATTCCCCCAGCCCTCTACTCTGAATTATCTCACCTAATAGGGATTTGAGTTCCCCAGGGACAGCACCCACTTCAAAGCCCTTCCCCAGGGGCTCAGGACTGATGCCAAGACTCCTTCAGCCCCTGTTCTATCCCAGCCCGAGTCTTTGAAACCGAAACCTTTTCCCATCGTTCCTGCTCTTAGTTTGCTTATCATTTCCATGTTCACCTACGTCATTTATCCATGGCCCATTCCTGCACGTTCTAGACTCAGACCATACCCAGAAACTACCTCTCCACCCATTAGCATCTAGATCAGGTCATCTCCGCCTGTCAGTCCCTGAAGGTAATCTTCCTCCATGAAGCTCTCCTGGACTATCTGCCTGATGGATGGAAGGATGCTTTGAAAATCCTTCCAAAGGGCACTGTTCATCTTTGAAAACTATACGCATGAGGTATTTTATCTCTTTTTAAAAACTGCACTTTTCTGTGTGTTGCTATAATAGATACAGCTGACATTTTAAAGTCCATTTTCAAAACACATATCGTCTGATCTGTGGTTCCTGAATATAGAAGTCTACATTACTGCCTGACTTGCATTTTAAACCTCTGTAGGCAGAGAACTCAGTGCATCAGCAGGGGAGAGAAAGCATCCCCAGAGCCAGCCTCTGAGTCACGCATATGCCACTGGGGAGGAGGCTGCAGCCTCCACACAGGGAAAGGGCCAGTTCCACTTGTGTCAAATCTTCCTAGGATAGCTCAGATGTGTGATTCTGATCCCCAGCAAGCACCAGAATTCTTTCTGCACTCATCTTATGTGGACTTGCCAAGGAGTTTCAGACAGTTACATTCATAACTTTGTTTTTTTCTTCGTGATTTATTGTGAAGATTCTGCCATTTTCTATTAACTTTTGTATCCCCTCTTTTGCAGCGGCCCTGTTGTTTCATACCTGGTACTGAGTAGATGCTCAGTAAATACTTACGGAAAGGGAGAAAGGAGAGAAGAGAAAGGATAGATGGGAGGAAGAAGGGAGGAAAGGAGGAAGGGAGGAAGGAAAGAGGAAGGATGTGCTGTCAGTTGGAAACAACACTCAATACATGAAGCTTTCTCTATGATCTGCCTGTACGTGTCACCTTGCCACTCAGGACCGACAGTGGGGGCTGGTCAATAGACTGATTTCCTCCTGATGAGCGTTCTGTGTGGAAACTCACTCCTTGTGGATTTGTTGTTCACCTTGTTTATTAACCCGAACTTGTCCTCATCTGTAAAACTTATTTTTTCCAGTCAAGGTGGCCTCATGCCTCAGTCTATCCTTTTTTTTTTTTTTTTGTTTATTCCTTAGTAGTTTCATGCATGTGTACAGTGTACCTTGATCATTGTGTCTGTATTGCTGCTGAGATGTGACAGCTGCCACCTCTGTCGGATGACGAAGGTGGCTCTGATCAACAACCTTGAGCAGGATCCAGCCAAACAAGAAATCTATCAATGGAACTGCTCAGAACAACAAGAGATCGCCAGGCAACGGGAGGACCCGGAGCGGCCAGGGTCTCTGCAGGGGTCTCTGTAGGTGCCACCGGAGCTTCTGAGTGATAACTGAGCCACAGACAGCAAGCAAAGGGTTATGGGTAGAACAGTCCCGGGCTTGCAGCCTTGAACAGGGGCCAGTCGACCTGTGGCTCACTGAAGTGTGAAGTGAAATGTAGTGGAAATGTAGTCTCCGGTACCCTTTCCTTTTTCTAACGAGTGCGCACCTCGGAGTCCCATGGCTGTTTTTCCTTGGTTGAGTAGGGGACTGTCACATTATAAAGAAGTCATCCAGGCCTCCAAGA